TCCCTCTCTCTCTCTCTCTCTCTCTCTCTCTCTCTCTCTCTCTCGCAAACAAATACATTGAAGAGGCAGCTGCGACAGACAGAGGCCAATCATTTGAACCCCATTGGCCTAACCCCTGCCGCTGCCTGACAGTTGCCACACCTTTTAAATGCAAATCAGAGAAATGTTTTGCATCTACCGCCCACTCGCACTCAAATGGAAAACAAAACCAAACCAAACCAACAAAACAAATGGCAAATTTCAAATTTTCACTGTGCAAGTTTTTAGTGCAAATGCTTCACATTTAACTGGCACACCAAAATGCACACACACACACACACACATAGTGCAGTGGACCCCAAACTGACCTCAGCTGCTGCAACCTTTGCCACTGATTTTATTGCAGCTGCTGCAAGTGCTGCGATAACACAAATTTCACATGCCGCAAGGACAGGAGACGGCAGCAGCAGCAGCAGCAGGAGCAGCAGAGCAGAGAAGAGCCAAATATACAAAAACAAAAAAACAAAATGCAAAGTAAAAACTGGCAACAAAACCAACAAAAATGCAAAGCTCTTTGGCTAAAAAATTGCAAATAAACTACACATTTTGCAAAAATCCCCTTACAGCAGCTATACCCCTAAAGGGTACCCCCCACCCACCCTGCTCCCGCCGCTTGCGTCGCTCGGCAACAAGCCTGAACTATGGCCATGGGCTATGGAAATTGCAGTGGCCAGTATCAGGCAGCCTGCAGACATCGCCCTGTGGCTTTTAAAGGTGTTTACGGTGTTTGCTTTGCCCTGCCCCAAGGGTTAGTTAATTTAAGCGCTTTTCATAAGCATTTTATGTGCAGAAGACGAGCAGGGCCGCAGTCAGAGTGAGAGAGAGAGAGAGAGAGAGAAAGCTGACCAGGCCAAGTGGCAAAAGTGCAGCCAAAGCTGCCAAATGTCCAGCCAGCTGGCGCCGGCTACTTCTCACGGCCTCAGCAGTGGCCAAACCCAGACCAGGAGAAGCAGCAGGAGTAGCAGGAGAAGCAGCA